GTTCGATGACGATCGTCCAATGCCGAAGAGAAAACCCGAAGCCTCCTCCACGGTCTTTTCAAGCCTCTCGCTGTTCTGTTCTGTTCTGTTCTGTGCTGTTATGCGAATGGTGACGCCCCATGTTGGGGGACAGCCTCGCGAATACGAACGAATACTTAAATAGTTATGTTTACGTGTTCTCGCGATCGTACCGTTTTATCACATCATCTTACACATGCAGAAAAAACTTTTTCGTTTCTCTCATATGTTTCTAAGTTTTTTTTTTAAATTCAAGTGAAACCAATTTAAAACGCACACGCGTTCTCGTACACATCCCCCAAACTCCTCCACCCACCATCAATGTTTTTTTCTGTGGATAAAAAGAAATTAATAAAAAGTGCTAAATTAAAAAGAGAGTGCAAATTAATTGAAGAAAATCTTAAAAAGAAAAATAATCGAATATAATTACTACGAGATATATTTCGTGGAATCGTTTTGAAATTATTCTTTTCGGTATCATCATCATCATCATCACTATTAATGTGTGTTAAGTGTTTCCGTTTTTTCCTTTTTTTTTTATTTCTGTGAAGTTTCTGACTCCTTATCTATCGTCATTGTAAAACTCTCTCAGTTTTAAGAAAAGACGTGTGTTTCTTGCAATCGTATCTTGTGATTGATTTTAAGAAGAAAAACCTCTGTGAAGATATAAAGGGGATTCAATTTCTTGTGTTGGGATTCATGATCATTGGAACATTATAAAAAGATTAATTCTAATGCAACGTGTAATACATTTTTTATATGTATTCAATATTAACAAATAAAAAACCAAATTGAGACGAATGATTCGGTTAATCTTTCATTCGATTAAATTCAAACGTATTGTGGTAGTGTCTGTCGTCTATAATAAGCTTAAGAAGGTTATTGTGAAACAGAGAAAGGAACATTTTAACCGAGCTAAGGTGTTAAAACGTGTAAAGATCGGTGCTCTAGAAGAAAAGAAGATATTTTGAACGTGTTCGTTCATATAATTCATATATCTCAAAAATATGCATTGTTATATGCATTACAGTATTCATTATACTGTCAAAATCCTTCGAAATTTAATTAAAAAGATTTAATTGGATTTATTGGACTATAATTGGAGAAAAAAGAAAAAGAAAAAAGACATAGGGAAAGATTGTTAGATCGTTATCGATCAATCGAAAAGAAGAAATAAAATCTTCAGAGGAAGGGGGAGGGCTTGAATGGCGACCATGGGAGTTATTATGTACATACCAAGTAGGTAATTTCAAATTAATCAAAAACGAAAACTAATCCTGTTCTTTTTATTTTATTATATTATATATATTTATTGTACATGTTCCTCCTCCCATTTTTCGTTTATTTCCTTCTTTCATTTTTCCTCTTTAACCATTCAAATGACCGTGTCCTGTAATTTGTAGACAACAAAAATTCAGTGAAAACGCATTTCAAATGTACCATTATTTATTTGTAAATAAATGAAGAAGATATATAATTATATCGTACACGTATTCAATTGTCTAAAATCTCATTTAATATGAAAATATATTCCTGTTTTATTAAAGAGGGTCACCTTTGACCGCTTATGATAAAAGAATATAGGTACACATGAAGTATCGGAATGTAGAATTATTCTACATATTTTTGATCAAATTTCTAATCGTTATCATTGATCACGCAAGTGACGATCGAGCCAATCAATTCTCGCGTCTTGTTTTCGCCTTATTATTTATCTTTTTCTTTATTTTTTTCCTTTTGTATTCTAGATGATACATACGTTCGATCATGCGCTCAATTTGATTAGGAAATTTCGAAAAAATAAAAAAAATCGTTAAAGTTTATTCATAATTTTCACATATTATATTATATTGAGTGAATATATTTAATTTTAATATTTAATTTAAATATATATTATACACACACACACATGCATGCATGCATGCATGCATATATATGTATATTATAATTGCAATCACCTATCGACCCTGACATACGATTAAAAGTCAAGAAAAATATGAATAGCGTCCAATGATCATCGTCTGGTACGAAACGGGAAACACTATATGTGTATTATTCATTTGATTACATACTTTTTTACTTACTTACTTACTTACTTACTTATGCGATGAGTATCTATAAGTGTATACGTGAGAAAGAGAGAGAAATAAAGACTCATTTAATCGTGTTACACGTATACGAAGTCACATCCACGTGTCTGATATGCCATCGACCCACATGTAACTCAATTTGTCTGACCGATTGATAGCAAACTCTGGCCACACAACAAGGGTTCTTTTTTATCGTCAAATCTGTAACACATTTATACAAATGTATATATATATATATACAGGGATATACGTATAAAAACACATATAAATATCTTTAACGTGTTTCTTAATCTTTTGTGCTCTCATAATTTAATAATCTTCCTTTTAATCGATTTTAAATTAATTTTTCTTCGATAATATTCTTCTTCTTCTTCTTTTTTCTCCCCTTCATCCCCTTTTCGATTGTTGTTGCGTTTAATATTATACGAATATATTATAATTAAAAAAAATGTATGATCAAAAGTATATTATTCTCGAACGAGATCAAAATCTTTTGAATTTTTTGACGATATCGTAGCAGACATCGAGAGACAACAACACAACACGACAATATTTATTATCGTAGCTTTTGTAAAAGCTTCCTTTTTCTTTTTTTTTAAATGCATATCGTTTTTGCGTAACGTCAACTTATGTAAATAGTAAAAAAAAAAAAAAAAAAAAGAAACTTATATAATATTTATATTTAATATCGGATTAAAAGCGTATCTTTTTCATATGACCGTAGACGATATTTAATTCGGCGTGGTTTAAATGGATCATTGATAAAAGAAGGAGGATGAGGAGGGAGGGCGGGAGGGCGAGGGGAATTAATTATATCGTGAATTTTTATCGTTAAAGATATCAGCAGTAAAAAATCATATGACAAGTCATGAAATTTTGGGACAATTAATTTGCATAGATAAAATAATAATGTGTACACGCGAGTTTTAGATCAGAAATTTCTTTTTTTTTTTTTTTTTTGTTTGATCGCATAAGTAAACGTGTTTAATAAAAAGATCTTATAAAACTAAGGATATGTTTAATATTATGGTTAATTATAATCCCACGTTTAAGCGGAACGTTAATCGATTCTTATCGATCACGTCTACGAATTTGCATTTCTAACGGGCTCACTGAAGTCAAGTCATGCGGTTGTTTATTATACTGTGATCGTATCCCGTTTACTTGTTTTAAAACATTGGTTGGTTGGTTGATTGGTTGGTTGGTGTATGCAAGGCGAGAATTAATTATTAATATCGTCGTTTTTCTTTTTTTTTCTTCTTTTTTTTTTTATTTCTACCTCTCCCTCGTGCCTAACGAAAAGGTTAATGAACGTACTTAACGTTTTCGTTATTATTTTATTGGGTTTTTTATTTTTCATTACCAACAGCAGACCACTTCAATTAAAGACGTCAATCTTTTTTGTTTTTTTACGATTATAACGTTTTTTGATTTATTTCAAAGTAAAGAAATATATTATAATGATGATCGTGTTTGATAGACGATCAAATTAATTGTGATCTGTTTTTAATGACAATTTCAGATAAAAGAAAAAGAATTATCGTTTAACTTTTTCTTCCACACACTCTTCATGGATTATAATAATATATTATATCTTATTAAGTTATGTAATGTAATTGACATTTAACGGTGATTATAAAACAAACAGGAAGCTTTTAAAAAATCAAATACTTTAACTTGATATATTACATGCGTTGAAATCTTATAATAATTACGATATAATTAATCATAATATTTAACGAAAAGTTATTCAATTTATAATAAGGAAAATATTAACGAGTTTTAAAACTTCGATATCCAATGATTGAAACACTAAAATGATTTTATATATATATATATATATATATATCTGATTAAATAATGATACGTTCATAATATGTACGTGATTCTTAGAAATTCCTATCAGCCAACAGCATGCGCTCGTTCATTGACGATTATCATCAAAGATTCAACAACCGCATACGTGGAATTAATCGCTTAAAGTCCGAATAGAACTATTATTATCCGAATGAGAAGATAAATTCGTCTGTTATTCAAAATGAAAGAGATAAATGAACCGAGAGATGATGGGATCTCTTCGTATAAGCGTAAATAAAATTACAACGTCGTATATATTATAATTTGTCAACAATTTATTGCTCAATAGCAAAAATGATCGATATATTAAGAGATATATATATATTTTTTTTGTATAAAGATCAATGATATATCAATTTATATTTTGGCAGACTTTGAGTCTTTCAATTATTTATCTCTTCGTATAATCTAATTGATAATATGAAGCTAATATATTTCTGCAACGAGTAGAAAAATATTCTACCCATTGACAATGCTGATGTGAAAATTATCTCGTTTTCTAATATAAAGACGTTATTTCTAATATATCAGTATCGAATTCGATAGCGTGTTTCGCAAAACACGTATTCTTCCCAATGTGTGTATGTGTGTGTATCATTGCTGATCATGTAACGTGAATTTGCTAGAAGGATTCTCTCTTTCTCGGCATCGTACGGAACCGGTTGTAGGAAATGTCACGATTGCAAAAAAAGTCATTCCAGTTGATGTCAGTACTACCTATACGTATATTATATTCTCAGATTGTTCATTTTACTCATTTGAAAAAAGGAATATAAATGTGATTGCTTCCTGCAATCCAAATGAGAAATCTACATCCCGAATCATAATTTAAGATATTGTATTTAACAAGACTTATGAGTTTCAATTATTATCCATCCTCACCATTCACATTCTTCTTTCTCAATCAATTATTATTCTATGATATCAAAAGTTTTGATTGAATATTTTTCCAAATATTGTTTGATATTTAATAATAGGAAAAATAAAAAGGAGACGACAATTTGTAAGAAATTTAGTATCTTCTTTATTTTTCAGGCATGTACACCATGCGTATGCTGGATAATGGTAGCAATAATGCATCCGGGCCAACCGGAGCAGCTGCTTTACCAGGAGTCCAAACAGCTGGTGGTACCACGTCAACAACGACGGCCCTGACAAGTGTAACGAGTTTACCTGCTGTCACAGATGAGAGAATGGATGCTTCTAGTGATAGTGCAGTCAGTAGCATGGGCAGTGAACGCGTGCCATCCCTCTCGGATGGGGAGTGGATGGAAACTGGCTCAAATTCCAGTCACACGCAAGCTGACTCACATTACACCATGGATTATGCTAGGTACATTTGACAAATTTCTCATTCAGAATGATCTTCCTTTTTAAGAAGGACAAGTTTTTAATAGAATGTCATTTTAAAACAGGTAAAATATTTAGATTCTAGATTATGAAGAAAAATTACAATTTAATTTTATCTATAACATATATATATATATATATATATGTTGAGTTTTTATAGTTTTCTTATTCTTTTATTTTCTTTTTGTAGTAAGTACCGAATGCCTTACGACTGCAGTTATTCAGTTTCTGGAAGAAACGCTGGTTCTCCAAGATGTCAGCCAGAGAGGACCGCCGTACCACCGGTTGCACAGAAAAAACATCAAATGTTCGCCAAACGATATTTCCAAGAGCAAGGCACCGGTTCGTAGAAAAATTGTCATATTATTTAGTTAAACGTAATGTGATTCTAATATATAATAAAAGTCTTTTGAAAATGATCATCCAATGAAATCATTTAACAAAGCAATATTTTTTTGTTTCCTATTATCTTATCGCGTTGCATAAAGTCTCTTTGACGTCTATTATTTGATTCGTATCTTGGTTTCTTTTTCTTTTTTCTTTTTTTTTTTATTTCGCGTTAAACCGGCGCACCGATACATTCTCAAGAAATAATATTTCAATAAAATTATCGTAACTCAGAGTTTGTTCTCTTTCTCTCTATCTTTTTTTTCTTATATATGCTTTTTTTATTTAAATGAAAATGTTTTTCTAGGATCACCATTAGGAGGAACGGCACATCCTACCACCCCTATAAAATATGAATATGATTCACCACATACGGTCGGTGCTGGGGCACCGGGCAATGCTTATTCCGGGCCAATTGAAGGTGCAGCCGGGCCACAATCTGAAATTAAATATAGTTGCAGTGTCGACTTCACTCGTCATCAATCTGGTAATCATTTCTTTTCTTTTCTCTTTTTCAATTAATGAGATTCTAATAAGTATCTCGTTATGGAAAATGTTTTTAATAAATATCATCACTGATTAATAATATTTATAATTTTTGTAGGGCGATCAGCAATTGAACACGTTCATCATAATCATACTTATCATTTACCCGCTGAAAGTTCAGGATCTCTTCAACGTCCCCTTTCTCGTGATAAGAAAGGTATTACAATATATCTCAAAATCTCATTATGATTAATATTTAAATTTTAGATTAAATTTGTATTATATATTAATTTTTGTTTTGTTGGGGGAAATTTAGTACGGAAGAACGAGAGCGACGAACATTTGACACGAGATGAAAAACGTGCAAGAGCGTTAAACGTACCTATTCCAGTAAACGACATCATTAATTTACCTATGGACGAATTTAATGAACGCCTTAGCAAATACGATTTAAGCGAAGCACAATTATCTTTGATACGTGATATCAGAAGGCGAGGTAAAAACAAGGTGGCAGCTCAGAATTGTCGCAAACGAAAATTGGATCAAATCATCAGTCTTGCGGACGAAGTTAAAGAGATGCGCGATCGTAAGATGAGATTAATACGGGAACATGATTTTATGCTTCTGGAAAGACAACGCGTTAAAGACAAGTTCAGTCAACTTTATCGCCACGTTTTCCAGGTCAGCTGAAAGAGAGAATTATTATGAATATGATTCGATAATGTCTACTTATTTTCCTATCATATTTTATTACCCTAACGTATATTTGAAATGCTTTTATTATTATACTCTTCGATAAACGATTAATAACTTTTATTAATATTCAATGATATAAAGTAACGATCAGAGAAATGAATTTCATTTTGATAAGATTATCTTGAATTATCAAAAGAAATAACAATATTAAATAGATAATTATAATGTTTCAGTCTCTTCGAGATCCTGATGGTAATCAATACCATCCATACGAATACAGTCTTCAGCAATCCGCTGATGGAAATGTTTTGTTGGTACCAAGAAATCAAACCAATCCTCATCATCCGTGCCCTTCATCCATGGAACCGAAGACGAAGCCAGATCCTGAACACAAGGAATGAAACTGTCAAAGGATCGTATTCAAAACGATTGGTTAACTAGATAATATCGCTGTTTCGTATAGCGAATCGTCAATAACGGCGTAAATTCAAATGTTAACGATGATGTTAACTAAGAGCTTCGTGTTAAAGCCAGAGAAACATATTTGCGATACAATACTTTTGTCGAATGGATTTCATAACTTCACATTTGACATACTTTGCACGCTATTCGATTGAACAACGAATTTGCTAAAAATCGCGTATTAAATTTATCAGGACAGCAACTTAAATTATAGTATATAATATATATATACAAAATAAATATGTACGTTTATCGTGTACATATTTATCATAATGCCGAGGATTCTAATTAAAAAGAGATATGCAAGAAAAAAGATTTATAATTTAGGTCATATAATGACCAAAAGTGATGATACAATTTCAGACGTAATATATACGTATATGTTATTTACATTGAATATATCTTATCAGTGAAACTTACATGAAATGTTATATATGTTA